TAGATTATAATATATTAAAAGATTTTATTACAATTTATTGCATTGCATAGCTAATGTAATTAATATCAAAATTGACCAAGCAATAGAAATTTAAAATAATGTATTAAACAATGTATATAGATGTACCAGAAAATGTCAAAAGGAACGAAATGTTCATAATGGAAAAAAATATATGTAATTCGTTCGAGATAATATCAAGGTTCATCTTGGGAGACGCGTTTCAAAAAAGTGTATCCAAGTGTACCGAAAGCGTTTACCGAACGCATCCATAGAGACAGCTACGAAAGCGGTCGCATACATACAAGTTCCGCTATATAGTATAGGTATGTGCATCGACGGTCGTCCCGCAAGGCCGGTCCACTTCCGGTCTCGCAGAACCACCGATCGACCTTCGTGCGGAAACGTAAACGTGCTTCGTATTCGCACCTTTTGTTTGTAACTGATCGCGCAACACGATACAACGTACCGGCCGAGGAAAAACCGGTATAAAATTGCGTTCTTTGTCCGTTACGTTTGCTCGGTGCGTCAACACGGTTAATTATTTACAGACGATAGTGCAACGCTTAGTTTTATTCCTCGAACTAACGAGCAAATTTATCTGAGATTGTCTTAGATGTAATTCCAGATGTAAGGATACGTTGAATATCGTTGGAATGAGATATAAGTTCCACTATGAAAGCACGTATGGTAAGAAGTGAACTCTTTCGAAGAATCTCCTGTTTTCTTGAGTCAATTGTTTAATCGGTTTGAAAGTTTAATCTCTGGACAAAGATAAGATAGTAAAAGGCAGTAAAAGAGAATAGTATAAAAGAAAAAGATTCGTTCATGTGCTCTATAATTTTAACAATTAGGTTAGGTTGGAGGGCATCAATAAATCAACAATTGTAGTTACTATTGGACAATCGTTAAGGATAGGATATAATTTGTTATAAACACTTTACTGTGTTTAATGTAGCGAAAACATTTCTCCACTGGACTTGGTCATATGACAATGACAGCTTTCGTTGAAATAATATTAAGGACAAGTAGAAGTTTCACATGAATAAATCACTAGGAATACGGGAAGAATTAAACTGTAAGAAGATCGAGCGTCACGCAACTGTATAGACCTCTTCTCTCGGAGGTTCGTAGAGGCCACGACGATGGTAGTTACAACTGCGGCTGCGACGCCGACGGTAAGGTCAAGGCCCTCTGCAACCGTCCTACCCAACTCCAATGTACCTTCGTGGTCACGTGACACGACTCAAGGTCTTTTCTCCCTACTCTGACCAGCACACCGGCCACGCCACCGCCATGCCATCCACCACGATGCACTGAGATCGCTCGTTTTCGTATATTTCAACGGATGTACTCTTGCGATGCTTTACCCCTCTTGAAAACTTCAAGAAACGGTCTCGTTTCACTCTTTTTACATTATGGCTCTCCATTCGAAGACTTCGATGTTTTTATTACTGACATAACCTATAAGCGATTATTTTCTAACTTATATATGTATGTATATGTGTGATAGATTTGGAAACTGATCATTGTATGAATAAGTCACAATGTTGATAATTTACTTTTAGTTCTAAATATATACTTGACAAGAACTGACAGACACTGTTATACTAGGTAAGAGCGTGAGAAGTATATCAATATCTCAAAGGCATTTCATTCTCATTACGTGACGTGTGAACCTCCACTAGAAGAAAAATATAGAATTGGTGGATCTTAACGAATCAACAATCTGATAGCATTGACCTATATTTTTCTCCATCGAAATTCAACATTAAAACAAAGAATATTAATTCGTTATTCAAAAATTTGCTGATTCAAACTTATGTGTTATTTCGATTAATTACTACAAGTGATGTTTTACCTTGAAAAATCGTGCTTCTTTGTTGAAACATGCTTTCCGTTTGTCTAACCCGATAGAAGGTGCAAGCATGGCAGGTGACGCGGAAGAGAGATCGATGACCTTAAGAGTACACGCCGGCTCTATTTTGAGCGTGTCGTATATACCGTAGGCTCCGATTGAGAGTCGGAATGACCATGAAAGAAGCACGAAGAGCCTCGTTTGTTTTTCTATTACGTTATAGTCTCGTCATCGTCGACAAAAAGCGGGCCAAGTAAAACGTCATCTTCCCTTGGCCGCATCCTTTACCAAGAGAATGAAAAATCATTTTTATAGAATCACTCTTACTTTTTGCCACTAACATAGAATTACCGTATAGTACTGAGTATAACTGTATAGTATAGAAATAGGTTTCTTTACTTTAGGGTTATTCGAATGTAGCTTTTTCCGTGTAAATGACAAGTGTCATCTGTAGGTAGCATTACGAACTAACGAATTAAGAGGACAAGAACATCAGTTACATAGTAGTATAGCAATACCGTATTCATATTAGGTCAATTCTATCTCTCCTTTTTTATTTGAGTTTATTCAAGGAAAATTGTTAATTTTTAATTATTGGACATTCTATGCGTAGTAGTCGATAAATCATATAATTTATGGATTTTAAAGTAATGTGTTAATGTGATGCTCATCTTTTTAAAAATTGTATCAGTAATGCGCATGACCATGTCGTTAAGGTATCAGAATTGATTGTTATTATCTTCATGTTCATAAATTCGCATCATTTAACTGTGATAGGTAGATTTTAATAATCAAATAAAGTATATTTCGTGGAAAGACTTGCATATTGGTAATGTGAGAGGTTGCTTCTATCGGGACAGTGCACACTTTCTAAAGCCATATTAACGAAGGATAAACGAATGTAACGGACATTTGACTTCGGTACAAAGTACCGACTAAATTTAATCGCATAACATTTAGCATTTCGCATGCATTTAGGGTATTTTACATAGATGAAACAAGTTCTTAAAATTTGGCTATTTTCTTAAAGAAAAGTTACCTTTTTTTTACCATTGAAATGAAGAAGAAAAGTGTCGTATTCAAAAAGTTTGATGCAGTTAATTTAAATCACAGACCATAAGAAATTTCCGAAACAAGGGTATTCCATAGATGTGCTAATCTTTTGACGAAAACCATTGAAATCAGTCTAGAATGTTTTGTCAACTTAAAAAGTACTCAGCAAGCAGAAATTTTCCGTGCTACTTCACATAATGAATATTTTCACTGCTTCTATCGGCCGACAACGCGCGATAATTGTATGTCTACACGACTGTTCGTTGCACAATGAGCATACTAAGGTATTTCATGGAAGTTTTCCTCGTTTCCGCAGTTGCGCTCCACGTACGAAAAGCACTGGATTCAACGTAGAATCTTTCCCTCTCTGTTTCACTTGGAAGGTAGGCGCGGGTTTTCCTTTCACCCGGACCCGTGGGCCCGTGCAGGCCCAACTGCGCATACGTTTAATATCTCGTCGAACGTGCATACGTAACCTCACACACATTTTCTATGGCTGCGCGCGCTTATGAATGCGCGTTATTCAATCACACGTACGCCATTATCGTTTCTATACAAATAAATGTTTTGACTAGAATTACTTTTCCTACCTTCTAAGTAAAATAAGAAAAAAAAATTTATGATTCGCATAATCAAAATCTTTGTTTTTCATACGTCTCAACAAGTTAGTGAAGTTAAAAATATCTATAGACATTATCGGTGTGAAATAATGATAAAGATGAGAATGTTATCTAGCCGAATCTAAAAATATTCTTTATCATGTTCGCAATTGCTAATAACATTTACGACTAATTTATTTTTTCATTATATCAACCGACATACCTCATCGAAGTTACTAACGATAATTCCACGAATGGAAATACAGCTTTGTTATTATCCTTGTGTCACGTTTCTATTCATTGGTGAATAACAAAGCAGATTGAAAAAATAGAAACGTCGCGACGTCTAGATAAAGTATTCGAGATTACATAAAAATATCAAGAATGTTCATTTTTCATTTGTCACATACAACACCTCATACGAGGCAGCCTATATGTACACGCTGATCGAGGATACTCAGTGGTCTGGTCTGGGTGTCAATTAAAATTATTATAGCCGGTCGAGGAGCATTTTTGAGCAGCATCAAGAACCGGTTCGGTTCGGGATCGGCTGCAACAGCCAGCTACCGTCTCTTATACACTGCCGCATTTTGTTTTCGCCTGTGCCAACGAGATCGCTTGGAATTGACTTTGAATTCGGAAAAATGAAAATAAAATAATTTTTTGATGAGTTTTAACATATTTATAATTTGAAATGTAGTTTAAAATGTTTGCAATTAAAGTGTACATAAAAAATGTTGGATATAAGATATTTTAATTGTGATTCGATGTCTCTTCGGTAACAATAGAAACTGATAATCATTAAGAGGTTAAAGTACCACATATTACCCAGTGATGTGCTCCCACCCTTCGATTAATTTTATAGATTACATGTTGCGGGCACACATGCATTCTAGACGCGATTCGAATAAAACCTACACAATTCTTGAATACCATTTGTGATGTATTTGCGAGAAGGTGACAGCTTCCTGCTGTTTTATTTGCTAATGTTCTCTCTCTCTCTCTCTTTCTTCCCATAAATAAATATTACAAAAACCAATTGAATCGAATTTTACGTGCATTTTTGCGTAGCGGTATTACTTCTACATTCTATGTG